AAAAAAAAAAAAAACTAAAAACTAAATCGACATTAAAATTAAGATTTGTTTTCAAGTGTATGTCCATTAAAAGTAGAAAAATATTTGGGATGTGTGTGTGTTTCCTTACATGGCTACTAAATAAAATATAATGAATAGACAAGTATATCTCCCCTTTTGCTATGGCGGCTCAATGTTCAAGGCAATGGCTTTTTAAACCTTGGCTATCTAAATTTTTTCCCTTTGTTTTGAATATTTGTAAGTTTTTAAAAAGTTAGTGTCGGCAGACTGATTGAGGTTATGCTTCTGTACCTGGGACACGTTTAAATACTGAGTATAGTACTGCTGCTACTGCTTCTACAATGCAAAGTGTGACTTGATGTTTAAACGTAAAAATTATGATGTTACTTGTGGAGAAACTAAAAAAGCTGCACAACTGACTGAAATAAAACACTTGGAATAAGTGTAGTGAGGGGATTGGAATCTCCAAAAAACTAACATTTTTCTTCTGCTTTTAAAAATTGAAATGCCCTGTTATAGTTCCTAACGATTCTCATGACATAACTATGCCAGATTACAAAAATACTTATTTTTAAAATGAAATCTATATATTGACTTTCTTATCAATCATCTTACTGTGCAATCAAAATTAGAGTACTTTGGTTTGAAAACAACACTTAGAGCCTCCAGGTAACTTTTAAGACTTACTTAGCTTTGTGGGTGGTATTTTCATGCAAATAAGTAAGGGTGGGTTTTATATTTTGTAGAAGTTTTTCGTCCTATTTTAATGCTCTTTGTATGGCAGGATGTATATAGTGCGTTAAGTTCCTCAAGAATCTCCTTTAAAACTTTGAAGTTAATACTTTTGTGCAACTGTGTTTTGAATAAAGCCATGACAGTGTTAAAAACAAACAAACAAATTTGCAGTACTCCTGATTATTCTTTTATTGTTTCTGACTGTTCCTGTTTTTTTCTGTGACTGCTGTAACTTAAAGTTTTTGAAACTGAATTGCTTCAAATAAATTGAAGATTTGTTATAATGATTAGTTTCAGTGTATAACATTCACTTTTTCAACAATACCATTGGTGGCTTTGAAGGTCTTTTTCAAAAACCAACAGCTTGAAAGTTAACTGATTTAAATACTTGGATGTGATATAAGGCATTACGATTTAATAGTTTAACTCATCATTTTTACTTCCTTCTTTTCTAAAAGACAGAAAAAAAGTCTGGATTCTCTTAATTTTCCTTTTAGGGTTGCAAATTGAGCCAGTACTTTTTGCAGTTTGATTTGAGGTAATAAGTTTATTACCTATACTTGTATTATCTGTGGTTTATTAAAGTGATTGTAAGACTATTGTATATCAATAGTTTTTTTTCTAAAATGAATCTGAAGTTCTCCATTTATACAGTATGTTTATATTCTGAATCTTGATAATATAAATACAAATATACATAATACTTAAATGTTTACCTTGAGCAAAATCAAACTTGAAACAGCATGTTTTTTTCTGCTCTCCTTTTTTTTTTGGTTTCCCTATGGTAAGTGATTTTAAAAGTGGTCATATGTAGACAACTGGAATTTTATAAAGTCAAGACACAAGTATAATTAGTAATGTTTTCATGATTGCTTTACGGTTTAATATTGAAAAGATATTGAAGCCTGGCTCCATGACTCACGCCTGTAATTCCCATATTTTGGGAGGCCGAGGTGGGTGGATCGTGAGGTCAGGAGTTCAAGACCAGTCTGACTGATGAGACCTCGTCTCTACTAAAAATACAAAATTAGCGGGGTGTGGTGGTGCACACTTGTAATCCCAGCTACCCAGGAGGCTGAGGCTTGAGAATCCGCTGGAATCTCGGAGGTGAAGGTTGCAGTGAGCCAAGATTGTGCCACTGCACTCCATCCTGGGAGACAGGTGAGACTCTGTCTCAAAAAAAAAAATATTGAAAAGGTATTTTAATTATTGAACTCTGCTTCCTGAGAGGTGGAAAATACTGAAGTATTGTTGACTGAAATTAATATATATATTTTTGCATGTTTTATATCTTTAAAAAATTCAAAGCCTTTCACCTCTTGGTTACAGGGTAGAACCACACAAATTTTATGATGAGGTTGTTAGATAATGAAGCAATTCAGTGAGAGACTGTGATTGAAAACATTTTTAAGTGTGGTTTGTTCTATATTTTAAAGAGAGGCTTTTGATTGTGGCATGCTTTCAGTTGCTGAGAATTTCCCCTCGCTTGTTTCTAGTACTGGATGCAATGATATTCTGCAGCTGTTGCTTAATTATAGAATTCTACTACTGCATGCCTTTTTCATGTACTAATTCAGCCTAAGACTTGAGAATCTGGCCTGGGTACTTCCATCTGAGGCAGTTATTTGTGTTACAAACCCTAACTTGAAGGGGAATGGTTACACCACAAAATGGAAATTAAAAATGAGTTGATCGCCAGGGAATTTTTTTTTTTTTTTTTTTTTTTTTTTTTTTTTT